ACTGTAGTCTCCCCTATTTTGGCTTCTGCCCTATCCATATATATAGAGACTTTGTGTTTCAACATAAAATCTACGCCCAGTATCACATCCCAGGCTAATGTTGGGCAAACTAAAAATTCGTGATGAAACGAATGCTTCTCTATCGTTAAGTCCAATAATGTCTTATAACACACTTTGAGGGGTTCCCCTCCAGCTGTTATCAACGCCGAGGAACAACGTTGCTGGTGGGAGTTATGGTTTAGTTTCCCTAGGAATGATTGTTTGATGAGAGATACTGATGCCCCAGTGTCCAACAGTACGTCAGTTCGCACTCCTTGAACTGAACCTTTTAGGGTGATGGGGCTAACATGATTAGCATGACAGGAAGATAAATAATAATATGGCTCACCTGGATTGCGAAACCGATTGTGTCCACATCGCCAAGCGTTTCTTCCAAACCTTTTACAATAGTAACATTCAGTGCGCCGGCTACGGTAGTTGTTGTCTGCTGGTCGTCTGCACCGCGTCCAGTTGAACCGCCCACGGCTAATACCACGGTTAGAAACATATGTGACAGGAGTCGCATTTGATGAACTATCTAATGGACTGCTCTCTACTGCCATCGCAGGATGTGGACGGTCTTCTGATGGTTTTGCCAATCGGTCGGCGGTAATAAATTTGAGTGCCGTTTTCTTTAATTCGGCGATATTGAATGGTGATATCCGAAGCAAATGCTCTCTTAGCGGACCTTGTACTAGCCCTTCAATACAACGGATTCGCACTAGGTCTTCCCGTGCCAAGGCGTCCAAAGCCGGAAAAGCCTGCACCGCAATTTGTTGTAGAGCATCTAAGTATTCTATCGCACTCTCGGCGGATTTCTGGTTACGCGCGATAAACTGCATAGTAAGACGATCGGTGTCTACGGTTGAAGGGAAACAGTCATCCAGTATTTTCCAATTGTGAGGCAGAGAGTTATGCGGGGAAAAACCATATGCAGTTACCTTTTTTAATGATTCGTCACCCAAGAATGAAATGAGGTAATCATAATGTGCTGAAACAGGTACTTGGCGTAAGTATGCCTCTACCCTGATCTTCCATACAGCGTACTCAGACGAAGTGTCTAAAAGTGGTGGTGGACGAGGGCTAGGGCCGGCTGTTGTCTTGATTGGAAGCACTGGGGGTTCGTCAGAGCTTGGTTTGGGTTTTTTTGTAGTCACCTCCATCACCAGTTGTAACACGTGTAATCAGCAAGCACTGGAAGGCGGGTAGGATCTACAATCACAACACACAAGGTTAGTAGAGCACCTCACACCAAGAGAGAACAAGAAGTGGTTGCCACGGCACTCGTTTATTTTTAAAAATTGAAACACGCGGAATCTTACAGAGAAGGGTTGCTATGGTATCAAAGTCTTAAGAGTCATCCTGTATGTTCAGATCACTCAGGGCCCGTTCTTTGGCCTCCAAAGTGTTTACGTTTGCTCGCCCTGAAATAGAAAGAAAACAGGACGGGTTAGCAACATCATACATGGTGATTTTGACTCTGTTACAAACCTATACTGTATTTGACTACAACATACTAAGAATAATCTTGGTTTCGCCAAATATTATTGTGAATGGCTTGCTAGACTCAAATGATTTTTTTCCGATGGTAACACACGCATGACTTTAAAACATCATGACGTTTATTCATATTATCATACCTGATAACTCTACAGGAGTCCAGATAAAAAATTATGGGAATCGTTAGAGGACTAAATTACATGATAAACATTGCACATGTATGCCCTGATAGCATCTCAGAGTCGCAGTATTCTATGATAAGGAAAAAATATCAGTTAAGTGTCATTTCTCACAAATTATAGTACTGTATGTATCTAATGTCGTTTTGAATGCATCAACGTGTTCTGGGCGACAATTCCAGTAACTCCATACTGGATGTGAGAAACGGAAATCCAGACCTAAACGATTTGACTTTGATATTCCAACTTTCTTAGAATGTCCTCTCAGATGATCAACTCTAGATAATAGAAAGAGATAAGAGATTTTGAAACCGAAATCATCGATACGTATGCAGTGAGAGTATACATATCCGTTCCTTTATTTATCTCATGATAGTGAAACTTGCAAAGTCACTAGCTGCAAACTCACTTTGCAGGTTGTACCCTAATGCTCAGTGTTTTCTATCGTAGCCCGATCTGATTAGTTGGTAATTTGGTTTTAAAACACGCCCATCTATGACATAGAAATAATAAATGTGTGATATTAGCTGACGTCGACCAGTGGAATGGGAATCGGTACTGTTTAAGATAACTGATGACAAGAGACATTAATATATTGTAATTGAAGATTCGTATGATTGTGAAATTTCTTAACTATCTGTAATTATTATAATTTAATCTTGTTTTAAACAATGGAAATTTGCTAACAAACTGTGTTCCTACGCTTTTAAAACACTAAGGTAGGCTCCTAATTTAAGTCATAAACCTATACTGTGCTTGACTACAACATACTAAGAATAATCTTGGTTTCGCCAAATATTATTGTGAATGGCTTTCTAGACTCAAATGATTTTTTTCCAATGGTAACACACGCATGACTTTAAAACATCATGACGTTTATTCATATTATCATACCTGATAACTCTACAGGAGTCCAGATAAAAAATTATGGGAATCGTTAGAGGACTAAATTATATGATAAACATTGCACATGTATGCCCTGATAGCATCTCAGAGTCGCAGTATTCTATGATAAGGAAAAAATATCAGTTAAGTGTCATTTCTCACAAATTATAGTACTGTATGTATCTAATGTCGTTTTGAATGCATCAACGTGTTCTGGGCGACAATTCCAGTAACTCCATACTGGATGTGAGAAACGGAAATCCAGACCTAAACGATTTGACTTTGATATTCCAACTTTCTTAGAATGTCCTCTCAGATGATCAACTCTAGATAATAGAAAGAGATAAGAGATTTTGAAACCGAAATCATCGATACGTATGCAGTGAGAGTATACATATCCGTTCCTTTATTTATCTCATGATAGTGAAACTTGCAAAGTCACTAGCTGCAAACTCACTTTGCAGGTTGTACCCTAATGCTCAGTGTTTTCTATCGTAGCCCGAACTGATAAGTCGGTGATTTCATTCTAGACCACATTCAGCTATGGAGCAGAAATAACAGATGCCTGATATTAGATCTTAGTGCACCTGACATTAATCGGACTGAAATTCCCTCTAGTATCTGAGAATCCTTTCCATAGTAGGATGCTGATGACTTTAATGGGACAGCATGTACCTTGTGTGGATACATTCAAAGCGAGACTGGGTCTCCATGGTACCATAAATCGTAAGAATTAATATAGGTTGATCGACCTGTCCTTATAATTGAAGACTGATGTGAAGAAAGTGATATTGTAATCAGAGAATTATTGTTATCCACTTTCTTAATTCCTATTCAATTTTGGCACTGACATGCTTTTATTAGGAGGACTTTTCACGAGTTGACCTAGCAGGAGAGCTTTGGTTTCTCTCAGATGCTAATCCTCTTAATCCTTCATCACCCTTAAGAAAAGATTTACTCCCTCCCAATGTAAGATGTTGCCTCAGGTTTGTATTGCGTCGGCTCCAAAATTAGTTGTAAGAATTGAAGTAGTTTATCGTTTCGACTGCTCCATTTAGGCTGGAAGCTTCATCAATCTTCATGTCTGGCGAAATCTCAGCACGGGTACAGAAAGTTTGATAGGCTGTAGACAACTTACGAAACCGAAATAACCGCCTACTACCCGAAAGGCCAGTCTTCTGCATAATAGTTCAACCGTACGATTATGAAAAGTGACCCCCCAGAGTAGGGAATATTCGTAGATTAATATTACTCGGTCGAAAGGGCCTTCAAATCAATGCTCGTGTCTCGTGGAACTATCGAGTAAACAGTGCCATTATAATGAAAAGTGTGCTGGGTAAATATAGAAAATCAACTGATGATATAGTAAACACTCGTCAGCTTAGGTGTTTGTAATATGTTTTACGTGTATTAGTAGTCTGGAAGAAAGTTAGGAGCGATCGAGCGAAAACAAGACACCAGTCCATGAAATCATGGACAGTTACACAAGTCTTATTAGTAGGTGTAGACTAACTGGTTGGGGTTCGCGTGACAATCTTAACCGGTGGTTACAGATTCGGAATAACATGGCTCAAAATCGTTTGCATTGGCGCAGATGGACCCAATCTTTATTTTTACCCAAACAGCTTCTGAGTTGATGTAACATCTTTTTTGATTTATTTCACTGGTTTGTAACTTAACGATCCATTCCAGTTAATACTGCAACTACCATTACTACCGTGGTATTTGGTCAGATAATTTTATCTTTGTGTTCATTTGGTAAGGCAACTTTAACTGATGTACGTAGGTACCAAGCTCTATATTGACTCCTGGTGATAATACATGAGTTGCACAAAAAGGCAAAATAAGTATATTTAGTAGTACCCTTAACGAGACTCCTTACTTACTCAACGGCACGTGCATAGCTGTTTTGCAATCCATGTTCGGAAACTAAAGCCATCTTTAAAGATTTGGGAGGAATTATCTTATTTTCAGCAGTTATAGGTCCATACGATTTTGCTGTTGGCTGAGCGGTTTAAGCAGTCTCATTCAACCTACCAGACTTCAGGTTCAACTGTGTTCTTCTGTTTGGACAAACATAGTTACGCACATATAAATAGCCGAAATTAATACACTTTTTCAGAGCAACATTAAAAATGTGGATTAAGGGAAAATTCTAACTCATCAGCTGACAGTCCGAGATACTTCTAGTTGAACTGGATGGCAAATATTCGTGCAGTATTGGTCAGTATGTGCATTTTCAACTAATTTTAAGCCAGTTAGTGGTTCGTATGTTGAATTTATTTTATCTTACTTACTGATAAATACATCACCCTCACAGTTTCATCTGTTCATTAAACTTATTTGCTTATCGTACTTGTTGTTTAACTTACTGTGCTAAAGCCCGGACTATAAACAATGGCCACCTTAAGTGAACAGGTTGGTGCTATCAAGACTATTGTGGAAAAATTTTTGAATGACCCGATATACCTGAAACCGAATACTATCAATCAGTTAGATGGCTTTGTAAACACAGGTAAGCGTTAAGTGCCTTAACATTCCGAATTTACAGATCCATTTTAATTTATTTCTCGGGTCGAAATGTTTTCTATGCACCTTTCAGTCACATTTACGAGTTATTCTGACAAATAATGGGAAATATCCAATAAACCATCAAGCCCGCTATACATCTGTCAATGCCTTAATCCGTTGTGAGCGAAATCCAATATGTTTTGTGGTGTAGGAGTAGGTTGGAAGAAAGTTAGGGGCGGCCAAACCAAAACATGGCAAAAATCACTGACAAGTGGACTGAGTCATGTTGGTAGATGTAGGCTACCTGGTTGGGGTCGGCGAGACGAAAGTCACCAATGGTTAGAGACCTTGAACGACATGGCTCAGAATCGTTTTCAATGGCGCAGGTGCATCCTTTCTTTGTGTTCTCTCAAGTTCTAACCTCCTGAATTCTTCACAATCTCTATCTCTCTCCTTCTAAATTTATCTCACTGAATTACACTTCTCGAATCATATCTTCGCTCCCTATTCTTCACCATTACTGCTAATACTTGTGTTATCGCTATCACTCTTGGATTTGAACTGACAGTTGCGTCTCTGTACTGATCTGGTATGGCAACCTGAACTGATGTACTTACTTACGAAGTTCTGCGTTGTATCTGTCTGTCTACCTGAAATCCAATATCATCTTTTGACTTTAACACCTAAAAAGCGCTTAAAACTTTAGGATCTCTATGGAAATTGTGTTTTTAATCAACCTGTATTAAGTTTCTGAGATATTATGATATACATTTTTTGGATAGAACCCCGAAAACTTCGCCTTCAGATCCTGTGATCAGTATTGCAGTATTATTTATGATCTGCCGATGGTCTAGTACAGATAATAAGATAATTTATGGAGTTGAGACATCCTCTTCATTTAGTGCTGAATGTACTTCCAAATAACATCAACATCACAATATTTTCAGTTACCGAATTTTGCGACTTTTAAAGTTTTACATTCACATCCTTCGGTTGTTCCTTCTCCATTTGAGTAGTGATAATAATCGTCATGAAAACTGCCACTGTTAGGGATAAATTCAATATTCTATAGATAACGGTTTTGGTTAAATTGTTCAATGTCGACTGCAGTTTTATAGAGACATTATAATTTTACCATTATATAAACTCAGATTTAAAATAAAACCTTTTTCACTAGCACCAGCTATTTGCAGGTTTCTTTGCTATCCAACTTGTTAATTCATCTGGTGTGTTTTGTGGTTATTGGTGTTTTCGGCTATATGTAACAGGTTATACGTTTTTTTTCTGTATTTTCGTAAATATGCTGCACTCCGTTTTATCTCATTTAGACCATTTACCCATTGATCTGTCTCAAACGAATCTACAATTAGCTATCAGCGCCAATGAAGCCATAATAGATAATCTGCGTTTCGAAGATGATGAATTACGACGGAACTGTGAGCAGCTATCACAAAAACTCAAGCAATGTGTGGCTCAACGCGATGCACAATTGTTAGAAAAGGAAACTACTAAAAAAGGACACCAATTGAGATTAAGAGCTGCTAAGTAATTAGTAACACTTTTACTAAAGCTTTGCATCAATTAATGTATATGCAACATGGTCTCATGTCGAACTTGAGTAGATAAACTCATTCTCAATGTCCAGTAGTGGGATCCATTGGCTCACATTATTGAACTGCAACCAATTTTTGATAATAGCGCAACGATAATCTGAATGAGTCAGTTAGCTTTAATCTCGACATAGTTGAAGCCCGAAAATCGTAAATTTCGGTACCATTAAGATAAACCACTTATGGTAATTTTCTATAAATATTGTTTTCTTCATGGGCAATACGAACCTGCTTGGTGAGTACAGTACCCCCGGACTTCTAGTAAACCCGAACAACTAAGCAAACAATGTTGGACTGATCGAGAAAGCTAGTTAAGTTTAGCTTCACCGAATGTTTGGATGGCTAGAATAGAACATGTTGCAGGTAATCTTATACGGTCCTCAAGGTATTATGAGTGATTGATACATATCTTTTGCCAATATTTTATCGATTTACTCTCTATGGATTTAAGTTGTGTTGCTTTCTAAATTCTTTCTCAGCATTTACACTCTTGAATCTAAGCCAAATCTTAAATACATCTTTACGACGAGAAGGAACTCCAAAACCAGTTAGGTCAAAAATTTTAGTGTTGATCATAATCGATGTCTAATGAGGAATAAAAGTATTTGTTGAATTGGAACTATATCTTGAGTATCGGATTATCCATGAAGCAACGAACTATGTACGTGCTCATACTCATATAGTTTGGTCTCCAACTTGAACAAGTATTTGCTAACTTGATAGACACTACACGAAACCTAGGAGTCTCACTATAAGTACGAATAATAATTAAATAGCTACGCTCATTTCATTCTGCTTGTCTGTGTGTATTAATTGTCTCCAATTAATCTACATTCTTTGAGGGCGAAACTGTCGGTCTATGAAAAATTCATGAAGACGAAGTTCACCATCAATAAAGATTCAGTTACAGCTTGTATCCTTTTCCAATTGTTTTTGATGGAATTTTTTAAAAAAGTGTACCCTAACTAAACCGTAGTCTTCGCGACAAGTGTTTATATGAGGCTGACCTCAAAAAAATGCATGGCTTTCACATTTCATTGTTAGACGTTAATTATTACTGCCCGACTATCTATCCATTAGCGATACCGAATCTCGCAAGGCGGTCAGTAAATGTTGGTAGCAAAAACTGTGGCGTATAAAGGCCTCTGCTGCCAGAACTTTTGTTGAACTTATAGGCATCTAAGTTGCTATGAAATAGAGTAGACGAATTACGTTGAGTCAGTGACAAAGTTCCTTATCCAATTCCCGTCATAATAGTTATTTTTAACCCAGATAGCATGGTGCAGTTGAATCTCTCAGAAGCCCTGACAAATACCGATACTTGTCAAATGATTGATCCACTCGAAAAGAATGTGACGAAACCTGTATTGAGTGATAATGAGATCAAACAAATGAAAAGTTTGTGGGATCGTATGGAGGTCTCTGAAAAATGGAAGCACTTAATCGACCGAGGATAACCCACCAAAGTTTCGAAATGAAACGTTGCATATGTGGACAGAAACATGCATAAAATGCTGTATATTTAGTTTTACCTGCTTCAAGATTAGATAATTATGTAAGTGTTTTACCCACTACTTGGCTGTTGTAAAATATTAAAAGTAAGCTTGCTTTCGTTTACTTTACCTATTATTCCTTTATACCGAGATATTATATCAACACGATACCCAATAAACAAGACTATGTCAAATGTCTTTTTGCTATGTAATGCGATACATCAGCTATATCCATTGAGTGCACATCTCCAAACATCACCGTTTTCTAGCTTACAATGTCTTTCTTCCATAGTGCAAGTCTACCAGGATATTTATTCGAAACCTGCCACGTATGAACATGGCGCGGAATTATGCACACGTGGTTAAGTTCAGTATTCAGGGCAAGTTACATTAAGTAATTGTGCCAAACAACTGATTGACTTGCGTATTAACGATACGCTATTAAGGCTCAGTACTAACTAAGAGAGCTTAAACACGATGTAGTTCTTTAACGAGTGTATAGTTTAGCATTTCTCCTGTAAAGTAAACAGTATGATACACACGTACGAAGCAGTTCCTAACATAAATTAAGGAAATGTTTATCTATCTATATTTATCTATGTAACAGACGTACACTAGGGCGCTTGATTAATTCACAGCCAAAAGATGAAAAACAAAACAATTCGCTAGGCACAAAAATACCACACAATCTAGAGTAAAAATAGCCTGAGCCGAAAGAAAGATCAAGCAAAGTTTAAGATTTACAGTAAGAACACAATAAAAGCAACATTTACATTCTAGGGTATACATGTTGCTAATAAGTTTGCTAATAACGAAGGATTGTGACAAAATGAAATTATGAAGAAATTTGTTAAGATTACAAACTACACCTGTCTTTGTCGGAAATAAAAACCGAAAACGAAGTAATAATATCTGAAAACAATTTGTTTGAATAGTTCAAGTAATTTAATTGTGTGTGTACATTTTAAATAAGTAGGAAAATAAGTTACTTCTGATCAGAAACAGTAAAATTGACTGCGAAGTACGAAGCAGCCAATATAGTGATTGAATTGAATAAAACGACCACGACAAAAGAATAATAATTGCTGCGATACTTTTGTGTGAAGTATAATTAATAATAATCTGTTGAGTTGTCTTTTAATAAAAACTGCATATTTAGCATAGTTGAAAACAATATAATGCAGATATTTCTAAATATAAATAATAAGGAAATGAATTATCTATCATTAATAAGAATGTCTGTTACTGAGATTATAGGAGTCTTCGTAGAGAAAGAGACAGATAAATTGGTACATGTACATATGTTTATCACAAAGATTCGTTACACCAATCAAAATAAAATGCAATAAACCTCTTGAAATGAAGGAAACATAACACGGACTAGCGACGCGAGGCGCTGATAAGTAAAGTGAGGGCAGAGGAAAAGCAACAACTTGATAAAGATATAAAGGTAAGGATTAAATAAACAATTACCATATGTAGATGCAACAGACGAATTCAGGAATTACCAAGAAGCTACTTTATATGAACGACATATCTGCCCAAAACATTCATCAGGAAAGCGCTGACCCACTATTCAATTATTATGATACATGAGATTAAGGCCACCAGGACTTTTCCTTTGATAATTAAAATATACCTAATCACAGAAATGGCGATTCTAAGCATTCACATATGATATATTCCACAACAACAAACAAAGAGTAGCCTACACTATAACAGGTATTGGCAATGAAGCTAACCTTAGTAGACAGTGTTGACAGAAAATATCAGTAACGTATTTCTACTAAGAAAAATGAATAAGATAAATGAAATGTAGATCTGGTTTTAATGTACAAAAGTATTTAAGATCAGCATCTTTTTTTATTGCTCTAGTAGCTTAGAGGGACACAGTGAAGAGCGAAGAGTTAAATAGATAAAGACAATATGTTTGGGCAACAAGATTTCCCGTCTGCTTTATGTTTAGAAAACAAAAGTTGTTTGTACACGATATAGATGCTGGAACAGTAGGGACACAGAAAAGTTAAAGAGTTACGATACAAATGATCTTGAAGACACCGGGAAAAGTATGTATATAATATTTGTCTAAAGAGAAAACCGAATTTTTATGCAACATATGTATATGTATAGATTAAGCTGGATTAGAACACAGGATGAATTAGGACTGGCCTTTTCAAATCTGTAAACAATTTCCCAATTTTTCGAGGCTGTGATCTGTAACAAGTGAGCGAGGAATAACGATATAAAATTGTGATAATACTCCTGTTCATGGCATTTGAAAACCGAAGATTACTGTATGCTGTCTTACATTCATTACTTCAACACCCAAACTAAGTTTGTGTACCGTTAAATTATTCTACAAAGATAATCATCGATACAAAACAAGTGTCTGGGTCGGTTATCCATATAGTTTGCAGATTAGTCCAACTACATATATTATTTTAAAAATACGTCAATCTTCAACTGAAATTAGAAAAACAGCAGCTTGTAAATACTGTGATAATAAATCAGTTTGTTCAAGCGACAGCAAGAAAAATCGTCATCAGAAAATTTGAAACCCAAATAAATGCTAGTACAACAAATGAAGTTGTTTACTTGGTGGGCTATTTTATGACAAACAGCTGGCATATTTACATGGAAATCAAAGCAGACAGATATACAACTGGATAGCATCATAAAACTTGTTTGATTCAATCCTCCGATCATATTGCTAGATAACGGTAACAAAACAAAATGATACTTACCAAGTTAGACAGCTAATCCACCAGATGTTTCTGGTTGGCGCTACGATACGGCTAACCATCCGTTTTAACCTGATGTGACAGTGATGAACTCTGCTCATCACTGGTAGATATTCTGCTTCCTTCTAGAACATCACTTTTTGTTGAAGGAGCCTCAGCTACTGCAGCTTCTGTTTGCTGGCAGAGTGTGGATGAATCACTGAAATTTAATTTATTTGAACAAGCACATAACTCGAATGAAGAGTTTGAAGCAGTTGTATGGATGCTAGGTGAGCTACCACCACCAGCAGAACAACTACTACAATAGACAATGTCTTTGGAACCGCAGACAGACTGCTTTTTAGTAACTTCAGTAAGAGTGGTAGATGTCAGACAGTCGTCACCTAAAATTTTTTTAAGAAAAATGCAGTGAATATGAACAATTAACTTCTGAATTTATGACTGTTAACATAAGACAAATAATGTTGACAAATGTTTAGTGAATGTATTCCCAGTAATGATTAAATGTTCCAGCTATACAAAATCTGGAGCGGATGTCAGTCAGGCAATCAGCTACAACGTAAAACTTGGTACGTACACCTCACATTAGCACAAAAAAACCCAACAAGTTAGTAATCCATGAGGTGGAAACAACTATGATAGGAATCTAGATGAGAAAACAGTTCAAAAACGTACAATAATAGTGAACAGGAAGGTACGACAATTAATGGAAACGATCGTCTGTAGATTTGCAAGGAATACAATCTACAAATTTTACAACATATTTGGTACACGCCTTATTCAAAATCTTTGATACAAATCAAGCCTGAACTGAAATGGGTCATATTCCGAATAGCTACTGATAAAACAGACTGGAGTTCCTTCCTGAGAATATGCTCGAATTCGAGTTAAGATTGTTACTACTCAATTGATGAATATGAACTGATTGGTTGTACTTTTAGCAAAACCAAACATTGAATCGTGTTGAACGTCAATCAACCAAAAGTATTAGGTGCCCACAGCTGTTTACGAGATGTTATCAGTGATGAGTACAACTCATTGAAATGTCTCGTCTACAATTACTGAGGCTGTATATATAAACTCCCCAATTGTTGACAACTGTCAATCCTAGTCTTGGATACTGCGCGTACAGTAGAGCGCTAATAATCCTTTTCACAAAACCTGATCAGAATTTTACCATAGATATAAGACATCAATATTTGCGGCTCGTTACTACCTGATATACAGATGATAAGTGCATCAGGACTTAAATTACGATGTCTGGATAGCACAATGCATTCAAGTTTGAAACCTAGTATTAAACCGAGGAGTAAACTGAACAATGTCTATCACACTTTTTTCAAAACAGGATACATTATTCAGCTGATTAGAAACCAAAACAATCCATCAAATACTATGGGGTCATTAAAAATATTTTATATTATGTACACGTAAAATCATACCTATATTAGTTTTGGCTGATGAAGATGTACTGAATTCACAAAACTGTGTATCGTGTGATTTGGAAGGGAATGCATATAGTACGTTTCCTTCTTTAACAGGAATGCACTCAGACGACTGATTCTGTTTCGAGGAAGAAACATCAAGACTCTGATTATGTGAATAAACATTACTAGAAGAGTCTGGATATGAAGGTGCATGTTTGATAGTTCGCATGAAACTAGTATCAGGGATAATGGACGAACGTGCTCCTACAAACCAGTTGGTTGAAGTATCTGCGTCAATGAATAGAGATGTCAATAAATTAAAAATAAAAATTTCAAGCATCTGGTTACAATAGGATTCAGTAACTCTACCAGTGGTAACACTAATTAGTGTTAAGAACGAACAAAATGAAAGTTTAAGTAATATTGAAATGTTCGAGTAGATAATTAAATTTTTGTATAGATCTTTCACTGAAGAGTAGATTTTCGAAATAGACAATGTCTATTAAACCAAAGAGAGTAAGAGCAACAAACTAAGCAAATTGATAGTTGCTGAATAATTTAAGCTCACTGAACTGAATTACAGGAATTCTGCAATGATTGGATATATAAGTACTAAAAGTTTAAAACAACTGCTGAGGCTGATAAAATGAAGTGAATGTGTCATTTCACCAAAAGAGTATCATTACTCGCTTAAAATCAGTTAAAGTTGTACAAATTATCAAAGAGAGTAACATTAACCCTGAAATAAAATACATGGTAAAAAATGCCTTAGTTCCTACAGCTATATACTTAGAAAAACTCGAATACAGGTCATGATGAGGACTTAAATGACTTATAAAAGGATAAGCTTTAGACATCATATAACCTTCATAATTGGTAGAATCGATTACAGAATGGAGAAAAACATCTCGATACTAATATACATCAAGGGATGCATTTCCTAAACCTTGGGATCGGTAGTTCATAAAAGAAGTTACACAATTCACAAATAAAAAGGTTAAAAGTAAAGATATGAGAAAACTGATGTTAGTAATCTTATTTGTAAACATCGAAATTTGAACAATATCTAATAAGGAAGTAACATCAGAAATACAAGACTTACTTTCTGGTAAAATTGCACTTGATCTAGTTTCTGCAGTTGATGACGGTAAATGCGTAGCAAGGAGCGGAGCTATATAACGAGCTGGTTGAGAACCCGTAGGTGATATTAAGGGAAATGGTCCTGACCCAGCCATATTCAGAAATCCATGATGTGTAAGAGTTGAGAATGTTTGGTTTATTTCAGATACCATATCTTCAGTTTTGCAACCCAAACGCAATGATCCCAATAATTCATTCAAATTCGATGGCTGGTGTCTGATCGGTGGAACTTTAACATCCATTTCCGGACTAACACTAATTGGAAAAGGTTGTGATAAACACAACGAAGGAGAAATGCCAGGGTAAAGTGTAGCAAGGTGAGGACTTCCTGGATTTATCTGAGGAACACCAACAGGATTTCCTCCATTACCACCGACTAATGATGGAGAAGTACTGTACGGAATTGTGAATGATGGTTGAGATATATCAGTCATATATGGACTAGATGGTGCGAATATATCTGGATGAGATGGATATGATTCACTGGGGTGTCTAGAAGCCATTGCAGTTAGAAGTGATTGATTCGTTGGATAAATAGCTGCAAAGATATTTAAAAAAGCATTAGTGATTATGAATGACAATAATTAGCTACAGCACCTTTGAATTATCATCACGAGTTGTGTAGACTTCATAATCACGGTTAGAAGTGTGATATCATGAAAACAAGGCAAATTTGTTACGTTCAGAGATGTGAAATATGGTCTGTGAAACTAAAAGATATGTAAGCTGTAGGGTTTCGACTACAAGTATCTCTTAATCACTGTTAGCGTATCATGGGACGGTCAAGTGTACAATATGAAGGTAGGGCATGGGGTCTTAGCAAAAAAGACGAATCGATTGCTTAGACTGAGAATCGTCTGAGGTGGTTAGGGAATGCGTTACGTATCTACCATGATGTGCAATATTAACAAGAAATTTTTGGTGACCTAATCCAAACGTGGCATTGATTCAAGTTATTGACTGTTGGATCGAGTTGCGTTGGTAGTTACAGAATACCTGGTTAAGGTTTCAGCGATAATCAAGATCAGCGGTTGGAGACAAAGTGACATGGTTCAGAACACAATGGCCCAGATGCGTTCACTCTAATAGTCTATTAGAATATGAATCTTATTACTTCATCACACACATCTTTTCGAACCATGACAAGTTTTTCTGACTATCAATGATTATTTATCTTTTCAGTTTAGTTTAGTTGTAACTGATTATCGGAACTTTCAAAAATTATGAGTTTATCATTACCTTTACGAGCGGGCCGAAAATCAGACGAGTTTATAGAATGATTTCATCTAAGTATCAAACCCAACGACTCAAATTTTAATAGGAGGAACCTGAAGCTGAACTCTGTGAATCTAAAACTCTAATCACTGAGCCTCAACTTAGCAAACCTAATGCTACTTGCTTTTTATAGCTTAGAAGCTTATTGATTAGTAATAATAGGGATATGCTTTACTAATGTAATTGTGCTAGGACACTTGTGTCATTTTATACTTAATTATTGAAGTTCATTAGTGTTTATCAGGTTAATGTTGCTTATAATTCATTAACTAGTGTTGATTTAGAAAGAAAAATATTTTCAGATTTTAATAATATGGATAATTATTTATTTTCAAACGGCAATAAATTATGAGGTATGCCCGATTTGTTCTCAAAATACATTTTAGTTTAAAGAAACCTCATGACTGCGCTAGCCACGCGCTGATAGGCTAAATCTAATCCGATCAGCGCTAGTCGATACTTTGAGTACATTACAAAAGCTTCGCTTCGGCTTCTTACTTCCATTCAACCTTGATATTCGGAATAAAATATTTTCCTATTCAACCGTGTTCTGATTTCGGGACTTGTCGAGTGCATTGTTGTCAGAGAATACTAAGCAATAGGAATAGCTGGGTTTACTAAAAGAGCTTTATAACACCCAAGAAGAAACTGCGCATCAAGCTTACAATTTAACGATTGCCACATAGATCATAGAGCGCTAAATTTGCCAACATTTTTGTCAAAAACTATGGCTGCAATAAGCTGAGATTACTATTTTATGAGTTCTCCATCTGGACTAAGTCATCGTAATTATAAAGGATACTTGTGAACATGATAACTCGTTTCCAAGAGAAAATCGGAGCACTAGTCTATTTTTTTGATGTGAAGGATCAAAACATTTGGGATGAGCGATGGACTGGTGCAGGTTACATTTCTGATCTCAAGTGCTCAATGTGATTCCCTGGTTCGTATTCCCTACAATCAAAGGTCATTGTACTTAAATGTAAAATTTCCACAATACTGTTGCAAATTCATTGAAAAAAGTACCTAGTACAGGTTAGATCTAACTTGAGAAATGAGATACTTTGGTGACATTGAGAACTTTTGAAAGTGGTTAAAGTATAACACAAGTAGGAGGGTTCCCGAATGTTAACGAAGAATAAAAGGAACGATTCTGAAATGTAGATGGGTTATTATTATTATCAATGACCAGACAATAATACCTGTAAATATGTAAGGACGCCTTGAACAACCTGTATAAAGTATGCTTGGGGAAGCAGAAATCGAAATCTAGGAGAAACGAAGTGTGCTAGGGATTTCAAATTAATGCCGAGATAATTGACGCAGCAGTAAGCATGAGCAGGGTTTAAAACAGACCAATGACATGAACTCCTTAGTCATATTAGTAATAACGGCAAAAGAGTCATACCAACCATCCGCATATCGATATTATGCTCTTATCTCGATAGATCAACATTCTAGGTTTTGAAAATCACTACTAATACATAATATATCATAAAAGAACTTTCTGTATGCGGGAATGGAGTTCCCTAGTTGCTGACAGTGAAACATAACCCTGGTCGGAAGAGGTAAGATGGCCGTAAAGTATCGATCGAAAATAGCCAACGTCTGTTCCTCATTGAATGACAAACGAGTCAAAACATTAAACGCAGTTTAAAAAACCCACCGAAATTTAAGGGTCCCGGATAAGCTGCGTCAAAACATGTGGGTGTCTGGATTTGGGATTCACCAATGGGCCAAATACTTTCTTGCAATATAGTGCTTGCATGTCCTCCACTCCCTCCGCTGGTATTAGAACCGCTTCCACCACTTATTAAAGAAACGTTACCAGCAGGTGTAGCCGAACAGAATCCTTGCCCATAGTCTGGTAAGGCTGGCGGTAAAACATTAACATCTTCAGGTGGCACATACCCAATATTAGTAGATAGTCCGTGAGCAAACAACGTAGACATATCACCTGGAGTTATATCGACGGAAGGCAAGGTTGGATAATAACTGGTGGCATTTAAATTGGCCGCCAAAGCAGCAGCTTGAACTTGGAGTAGTGCAGCTTGAAAAAGAGAGGATCCAAAAGGGTTAGTAACGGCTGAAAAACCAACACCACTCGGTATATTGTCATCCCATCCTTCAATGTTACTACAAGAAGCGCCTCGGCCATGAGGTAAACGTAAATGCGAACCCTGACTCGGTTCAAAACGAACAGATGGCATAATTGCAAAAGGAGACCCCGTTGGATAAGCGCTCGCTACGGGACCACGTACATGTGAGTAAGAGATAGTAGGATAGATGGCTGATTGGGGGTCCTCCGCTATCTTGGCTAAAACTAGATCTACAGCTGCACGACACTGCTCTGGTTCACCTACAATGAAATGAAATAAACACGATTGTGGCAGGTTTGATAAATAATAAAGTGGAAATCAGTTCTAATGAAGTTCGCTGAAAAAGAACAACTGAAAGTTAGTGTGTACAAATGAAATGTGGTAAAAAAAACCGAACTGGATAAACATAATCTTAAATAATACATCGTAGATTGGATTAAGAACCAACAGGAAAAAGTACATGCTATGAATCTTTCAAATAAAAATAGTTCTAAGTGCTGAATAGCAAACAACCGCTTCTCACCTGCAATAGTTATACAGCGCTCCAATAAATTGATTTCAACAGACTTCTGTGAAATCTGAATAAAAGCCCCAGTCCTGTCTTTAATCTCTCGGACATAACTACCCAATTTCCCAATAACAAGACCTGCAGTGCAATTTGGGACCAAGATCTTGACCTTCAACCGAACAAAAAAATCGGAAAGAGACTAAAGCATAATCCTAAGGGATATATATATATATTTACATATATATATATATAGGTGAGAATATGCTAACATGATGACAAATGCAAAACCAGTAAACGAACGAAGTGAATCTGCTGATCAATCAGATTAACATGTAGCTGAAGTATGGATTCAGGTACACAGTCTTGAGATACCTTTTTCACAAAAGCTAATGATGTTATCCGGCTACCTAAACCAGAGATGGTGCCAGATTAGAACCCGGATCTTACGAGAAAACCATTGAACGGATTCCTGGAAATAATACAATATTTAGTCAAACATAGTCAACTTAGGACCAATTACAAATAAAAACTGGCTCAAATGGCAACATTTCATATTCAATTCACATAAAGAGGCAATCATTGAGATGAGAATTGGACGGAAATAATGTCAAAACAATGAAAATCTATATAATGACAACTATCAACGCAAAATAAGTGAGACCGAAGGATGAAAAAAAATGAGATAAAACCAAACCCAAAATAGAAAGATAGGGAATGAATACAATGTGATCAAATTCAGACTGTCTCTCTAGATATTTTCCATTGCAAACTACTGTTATTACACATTTTTAACTAAGAATTATGTGCCCACAGACCAACAGTGAACGACCTAATGAACTCTACCACTATAAGCTATTTTTCAAACTACCACCATGCAAGGCGGTGATTGAAGATAGCTACAGGTTTAGGTTTCGTGCAGTTTAGTATCCATTAGCCAGGTGTACGTGCCATCTCAAGGGAACTAATGCTGTCTTGCAGATTTGACTCCGTGACCTACGTTTATAGTCAAATATTACCACTGAGATATATTTACAATCAATTGATTAATGAGTGGTGGTCATGTATGTCAAACCCTTCGTGTAAAATTCTAACGATCAGATTGAAGAGTGGACCTAAGAATACGTGACTCGACATTGCTTGCACAATAACGAGGTTTAAGGTGTTGGCTGTAGATAGTCGACAGGAAACCTTAGCTACCAGCATGTCAGTGAGCACAAAGCTTCGAAGTAAATGATAGTCAGACATGTGCTATGCATATCCCAACCACCTTGGCTAATGTAGGTTTACACCATCAACCATTGAGTTCCCATTTAGAGATGGATATTATTGCAGATCAACCACAATGCAGCATTTAATATCTATACAGGAGAAATGTATCTCTATTGGTTTGTTCTTGCTCAAGTAATCCAGAACCCTACATTGTTAGCGAAATGGTATCGCATTCAGACTAAGCAAACACCTCAATTGCCTATTAAAGCAATCCCATAAAACAGAAGAAAAACTTGTTATCTCTAAAAGCAAAGCGAAGACAGAAGAGAACGAGATCAATAGATTGAGCAGGCCTGCATATAGGATCAGTTAGCTACAAAGCAAAACTTTATACGTAATTACATCAGTTCTGGTCGACAATCCACATTAACACAGAGAGATAGAATTTTCTATTCAAATTAGATAGCGGTACAGGTAGTAGAAGTATTAGCGGTAATAAATAAAATTAGGTTTCCAAAATATTATTCAAGAAGTATATCCTAGCAGAATCAATTAAAAACAAGAGGAAAAAGATGAATAGTAATTCTGCTTAGAATTCGGGAGGAGAAAAAGAATGGATGCACCTGCAACATTACAAACGATTTTGAGCATATCATTCACAGTCCCTCACCATTGGTTACGATTGCCTCGCGGACCACAACCACATAGTTTACATATACTAACATGGCTCAGTCCAGTAGTCAACAACTTCTTTACGCCATGTTTTAGTCTGACCACCACTAGATTCCTTCCATCCTACCCCTACTCTACAAAACATAGCCCGCATAGGTAGTCGGTAGTTAAGCAATCGTGAAACATGTCTCAACGACCTCGAAGGATGAAGCTCCAATACGTCGAAAACTGATCTTCCATCCTTACCTAGTGCCCACTTCCTAACAACAGTATCGCTTATTCAATTGTCCGAGTACAAGTATAAGTGACGCGGTCAACATGCTAAATTACTTCACTCCCTATAACTAGTTCAGGTACCGATGAAACCCAATGTTGAAGCAACATTTTGCATTTCAAAGGGGAAAACCGCATCCCGAACAGGGTGGCATTGTTGCCTAAAGTATTTAGAAGACTTTACATTTTGTCAGCGTCTTCACTAAGTAGAACAATGTCATCGGCATATTCTTAGTAAACAAGTGAAGGTAGGTCAACTCCTAAAAAGTCAGGCCAATAATGTGTCGTATCTATAAGCATGTAAATCACGAAGTTAAACTAAAATGGGGAAAGTGAAAAACCCTGACGAACACCACATGAAGTGATCAATTCCGATAACCGTTCGGCATTCGTTCTCACTCGACCTGTAGTGTTCGAGTAGAGAGCCCTTATTAGATTTATGTACTACTGTAGTACACCATTTTTGATGAAAGAAACCGCTAAAGAATGCAACGATCGACAGAGTCAAATTCCACCTGGAGGTCGAGAAATACTAATATTGTGTGCAGCCAAAATCTGTGTCTATAGTCGAAGACCTACAAAAAATGAATATTTAGTCTATATATTCACGTCAAGGTCAAAAAGAAGCCTGGTTTTCTCGAGTCTGCTATCCATGAGCTCTACTTAGCAGTCTAGATCTCAGATTATAACTAAGATCTCAGTCAATTCCAATCATCATCATAACCGGCAACGTAGAAATTTGCAAGTAAGTAAATCACATTAAGTCTCCATACCACATGAGCACAGAGATGCAATTGTCAGTTCAAATCCCATAGTAGCAGAGGTAGTAAAAGTATTAGAAGTAATCGGAGAGATTAGGGTTCGAAGATATCATTCAAGAAGTATAATTCAGTGAGGTAAATTTAGAAAGAGCAAGATAAAGGTGATAACAAATTCAGAAGATTAGAATTTCAGAGAACACAGAGTGGATGCACCTGCCCGATTGCAAACGGTTTTGAGCACTATCGTTTAAGGTCTCTAACCATTGGTGACTTTCGTCTCGCGGACCCCAATCAGGTAGCCTACATCTGCCAACATGATTCAGTCCACTTGTCAGTGACCATAGATTTGTTCCATATTTTGGTTTGACGGCCCCCAACTTTCTTCCAACCTACTCCTATATCACAAAACATCGATCTTCGAGGCATTCGGTGGTTAGGCATACGCAACAGATGTCCCAACCCCCTTAACTGATGAAGTTTCACTACTTCATCTATTGACCTGCCATTCTTACATAGGACCCGTTTCCTAACAGCATTGCTTACTCGATAGTCCCAAGATATGCGAGCAATGTTTCGGAGACCAGTAACCTACGAATATCTTCTACTCTGACTGGCCATGTTTCACAGCCATAAAGTAGGACGGAGTGAACTACTGCGCAGTACACTCGTCCTTTGGTCAGCAAACGGATATCTCGCCTTCGCCATAAGTGACGCAAGTTGGCAAAAGCCAATCGAGCCTCCTGTATCCGTGCTGAGATTTCGTCACACATCAGGCCATCAGCACTGATGAGACTCGAAGTAAGTGAAGCGATCGACTTGCTCAACTGCCTCACTGCCTATCACTAGTTCAGATACCGACGAAACCCAATCTTGAAGCAACATTTTGCATTTCGAGGGGGAAAACCGCATCCCGAACATGCTTGCATTGTTGCTAAGGGTAGTCAGAAGACTGCATTTTGTCAGCATCTACACCGAATAAAACTATGTCATCGGCATATTCTAAGTCAATAAGCGAGCCTCCTGGTAGAAGATCTCCTGAAAAGTCTGACGAAGATAATGTTATATCTAGGAGCATATCTATGACAAAATTGAACAAGAATGGGGAAAGTGAACAAACCTGACGAACACCACTTGAGGTAAAGAATTCCGATGACAGTTCGCCATAAACTCTAACTCGACCTGTAGTGTTCGGGTAGAGAGCTTGTATAAGGTTAATGTACTTCTTCGGTACACCTTTCAATGACAGGTACTGCCACAGAACCTCACGATCGACAGAGTCGGATGCCGCCTTAAGGTCGAGAAATACTACTGTTGTGGGGCGTCTTAACGAGTGATTTTGTTCCGAGACGTGACGTAGTGCGAATATCTGGTCTATGCAGCCACGTCCAGGTCGAAAACCAGCCTGGTTTTCTCGAGTTTGCTCTTCACGAGCTTTAGTCAGGCGTCGGAGTATTATTGAGGCCAATATTTCAGATACTATATTAGTTAGGCTGATTCCTCTGTGATTGTCACAAGAGGACTTTTGTCCATGATTGTAAGTTGGGACAATCAGCGTTAGAGACCAGTCAGATAGGATTACGTCCAGTTCCCAGATTCTACCTAAAATCTCAGTCAATCTAACTGCTAAAACTGGACCACCATCCTTGAAAGTCTCAAGGGTAAGCTTGTCAAGGCTTGCTGCCCACCCTCACTGCAGATTTTCTATAGCTGTCTGAACTTCATAAAGACTTGGAGGACTTATGTCGGATTCCCATTCAGGATGACTGGAGATCGCGGACAACCCAAGTGTGGCAGAGGGCCAGCTGAACTGATCCCTAAAGTGTTCTGCCCATCGATCCAATCTCCTGGATTGAGAATGGATAATAAGACCATCCTTTTCCGAGATAGTTTTACTCACATTCCAGTTCTTAATACCGGTTTCCTTGATGAGTCTGAATAGTTGTCTACTGTTGCCTATAGCCACTGACTTTTTCATCTCCTTTTCTTTCTCTGCTCACCACTGTTCACGATCATTGCGTAGGCTTTTTATCAGCCTGCAGCTAGGATGACTCCGCTCCTCACCGTACTCAGAGCCAGATGGGATGAGTTTCCGTGCTTCTCTTGGTCTAGTCGATGCTACTGAAATCTACACATGTCCCCCAAAATGAGCAACAGTCTTCTATTGAACTCCTCCATCGGTGGCTTATAGCGTTGTGATCTAGTTGTGTCCAGCGTTGAGACGACTTTGGGGGTCGCCGGGTCAAAACATGTCTTTCCTTATGCCTAAAGTTAGTGTTAGCCAGGAATAGGCAGTTACCTGAGCATATCTGCAGCAGACGGTCGCCATTCTCTGTTCCATAATATCCACCCAGGTATCGTTCCTTTTCGCTGAGTCTACCTACTTGAACATTAAAGCCACCAGCCACTATTACTATATGAAAGCGCCTAACGCTTTGGAGAAGTTCCGACAGCTTTCTGTAAGACTCATCTTTTATCTCGTCTGAACTTCAGTCAGTAGGGGCGTAGGCAGATATGACGAAGAGGCAGCGGCGAGTGTCCTTATATTTCCAAGTTCTTACTGTCCCGTTCAGTCGGACAGCGTACAGGCGACTATCTACTGGGATCCAGTCTAGGAGGGATAGTTCAGTCCTACGACTCAATGCTATATCTACACCGGCGGGGCCACGGGAAGCAGCAGCTGGGCTTCCAGATATGCGAAGCGTAAACCAAGATGATTTTCTATCTGCACAAGGTGAAATCAGATTAATTATTTTACTAGGATCCTGTATGCCTGTTTTGGAAACTCAGCATCCATTTATGACGCGAGATTCTAGAGTCCTATCTAAGGAAGCCTGTTGTCCTATTTGACACAATGTCCGTACATTAAATGCTCCAACATGTAATTTTGAGCGGAGTTTCAGGAGACCTGGAGTACCGTTTCGTGAATTCGGGTTGTTTGCATTATTATTAATGATTAATGATTTTACTAGGATCGTGTATGCGCGTTTCCGAGACGCAACGTATGTAGATCGCACGGGATTCCAGAGTTTTAGCTAATGAAGCCTATTTGGCAAAGGGCCCGAACATTGGAAGCTGCAATATGTAATTTAGTACGGGGTTTCTGGAGACCAGGAATGTTTCGTGAGCTCAAACCATTTGCCTCAGCGGCGCGAGGTGACAACCGATCGAAAGAAAAGTTGTTCGAGGAGATAAGAGAGTTATCAAGAGGTGTAGAAAGGATTTGGTTGTGACCAATTAGGTCTCGTGTGCTTTTGTTGGTTTGAGGGCTGATCTTACTTCCCGGCTTCCCAAAAGGTGGAAGGGTTCTGGTTTTTAGAAAGGGCATCGACCTCGTGACTGCCGAATGAACTCGGATTTTATCATGAGATGTCATAATTCTCCTAAATTAAGACCGAATTCACAGGTCAGAGTTTAAATGGATTGGATTATTTATTCTTGTTAGCGTTTTTAGCGAGTTAGTTAGTCCCCGAACCCCCTCCTTTATTCGGACTAAGGACCGGAGGGGCTCCAGGCGAAGTTTGGCAGGACCTAGCAATAGAGCCCTATTGGGTCACAATAACAGCAACGAAGTAAAAACTATAGAAACGCAATACATGGAGTGGTAAGATTAGATCTAAATACATTGGAAAATGGGAAGAGATGAACTTGCCTGTTTATGTCGACCCCATGGTAAACGACTGCCTGAGAGTTCTAAGCTATGAGTCCAAGCAGATCCTTTCTGCAAGTGTGATATATTGCGAATTGAGTCACCCTGAGTAGCGGAACTGATAGCAACATTTTCAGAATGTGAAGTTGTAATGGTATTAGTGGTGACACCTGATGCGCCAGTCCCAAAACATTCTGGCTTTTCCAGAACACGATCCATAATATAATTGTGCATGCGGGTTACACCCTCTAAGGTCCCTTGAATCAGACAAACTCGTTCTTCAGTGCCTAAAAGTCGAGTTTCATAACATATTCTATAGTAAACACAATAACACTTAACTCAGTATAAAATTAAACAACAATTTATAGCCAATGATCTTAAAATAAATACGTTCCATACTATGGATTGTCTGACCAGCTAGTAGTAAAAAATAGTAAACTTTTTTAATCACCTAATTTAGCAAGCCAACTGTCAGTCACTTACAATGTATGTGTTTGAGACTCCGGGACGATACCGTAAGTTTTTAGTGCAGAGATCCCTGAAACAATGATATGTATTAATTCAGCATCTTTGCACTTATTGATATTTAATTTACACATAGTATTTCTCAAGAACTAGCGAAAGTCGCTCATAATGAGTTTGGCTTGAAAGTTTAAGGGTAAGATATTAGTCAAAAAAATATGAATTTGAAATATTTGCTCAAAGAGTAGCTCCTAGAGAGTTATTAATTTTAATTGTTGGTGTAAAATGGCAACACTATGGTCCAGGCTTACAACTTTATTAAAGCCTACTTAGCACTGCATTATTTAAGTATCCTAATAATCAATGGCATTCCAAGGGTCTAAAACAACCAGCTTTATAGAGGGTGCAATGAGTTGAGTGAATATAACAGATTACCTGTAGTCATTTAAAAATTAAGCATAAACAATAAAAATACTAGATGTATTCTGACATGATCTACACTAAGCATGATTGCTGTTGACAATTTCCACCACTCTAAAAAGAAGCTATTTTAAAGTTTATCAGTGACAGTACACTCGGGTCTGTAGTTCATAAATTCAAAACAACGTTTGAAACTTAATGATATGTCAAGTATGCTCGGATACGCTGGAATTTTCAAGGACAAAACTACTGAATCCAATACAAAATTATTATACCATAGCATTATCGGTTGAACTAAACATGAGTTAAGACAAATTGCAGCAATTTATTTACAAGAACTGAGGAAGAGTTGTTCCAACTTGATCTTCAGTTAAGGAAGGATTTGGTTGTGAACAATTTGGTCTATTGTGCTGTTACGGGTATGAGGGCGGATTTCCCTTCCAGCTGTTCACACCGTGTAAGGGTACTTCTTGAGAAACCTGAAACGGAAGTTGAATAATCGTTGGTCTTAGTGACCCGATAGTGTGCTCGGAGAGCCTACGGTACAACCGCTTGAGGCCGGTCACGCATAGCTTTTTTATGGGAAGTGTTTAAGTGTTGGCCGCGCCCTTGTTTAAAAGGCCTTGCCACCGGAGGTAAGGTGAGGTGCGATATTTCTACGGTCGACCATTCCTAACGCCTTCCTGCCTTGTGAGAAGGTAGCATCGCTGCAGATGCTGGATGTGTGAGGGAATTACCTCACTGCTGTCACACCTCTCTACAGTCAGCAGTACAATTTCGCACTCAGACCTTGTGATGATGCTTTTATTCCTACCATACTCCAATCAACCTGCCTGGCATGATAGGACCTACAAGAACATATGTTCCAGCCAATATAGCTCTGTTGGGTCATCATGATAGGCAAGCCTGACCACCACGTCAAGATAGCAGCTACGGTCGGGCACGTCATCACTAACAGTAGGGAAAACATAGGAAGGGATGAATAGAAAAACAACTACATAGAGGGACCTAAAGCTTCCGATCTTCCACGATGTGGGCAGCCGGGAAAGGAAATTCGCCCTCATACCCGTAACAGCAAACGCAACCGAACTGGTCACAATTAAATCCTTCCAAAAACCCCTAATATATCTCGTATCTCCAAGTCTCACCCTTCTTACATCGCTTCAATACACTGCAATAATAATGCAAACAACCCGAATTCACGAAACGGTACTCCAGGTCTCCTGAAACTCCGCTCAAAATTACATGTTGGAGCATTTAATGTACGGACATTGTGTCAAATAGGACAACAGGCTTCCTTAGATAGGACTCTAGAATCTCGCGTCATAAATGGATGCTGAGTTTCCAAAACAGGCATACAGGATCCTAGTAAAATAATTAATCTGATTTCACCTTATGCAGAGAGAAAATCATCTTGGTTTACGCTTCGCATATCTGGAAGCCCTGCTATTGCTTCCCGTGGCCCCACCGGTGTAGATATAGCATTGAGTCGTAGGACTGAACTATCCCTCCTAGACTGGATCCCAGTAGATAGTCGCCTGTACGCTGTCCGACTGAACGGGACAGTAAGAACTTGGAAATATAAGGACACTCGCCGCTGCCTCTTCGTCATATCTGCCTACGCCCCTACTGACTGCAGTTCAGACGAGATAAAAGATGAGTCTTACAGAAAGCTGTCGGAACTTCTCCAAAGCGTTAGGCGCTTTCATATAGTAATAGTGGCTGGTGACTCTAATGTTCAAGTAGGTAGACTCAGCGAAAAGGAACGATACCTGGGTGGATATTATGGAACAGAGAATGGCGACCGTCTGCTGCAGATATGCTCAGGTAACTGCCTATTCCTGGCTAACACTAACTTTAGGCATAAGGAAAGACATGTTTTGACCCGGCGACCCCCAAAGTCGTCTCAACGCTGGACACAACTAGATCACAACGCTATAAGCCACCGATGGAGGAGTTCAATAGAAGACTGTTGCTCATTTTGGGGGACATGTGTAGATTTCAGTAGCATCGACTAGACCAAGAGAAGCACGGAAACTCATCCCATCTGGCTCTGAGTACGGTGAGGAGCGGAGTCATCCTAGCTGCAGGCTGATAAAAAGCCTACGCAATGATCGTGAACAGTGGTGAGCAGAGAAAGAAAAGGAGATGAAAAAGTCAGTGGCTATAGGCAACAGTAGACAACTATTCAGACTCATCAAGGAAACCGGTATTAAGAACTGGAATGTGAGTAAAACTATCTCGGAAAAGGATGGTCTTATTATCCATTCTCAATCCAGGAGATTGGATCGATGGGCAGAACACTTTAGGGATCAGTTCAGCTGGCCCTCTGCCACACTTGGGTTGTCCGCGATCTCCAGTCATCCTGAATGGGAATCCGACATAAGTCCTCCAAGTCTTTATGAAGTTCAGACAGCTATAGAAAATCTGCAGTGAGGGTGGGCAGCAAGCCTTGACAAGCTTACCCTTGAGACTTTCAAGGATGGTGGTCCAGTTTTAGCAGTTAGATTGACTGAGATTTTAGGTAGAATCTGGGAACTGGACGTAATCCTATCTGACTGGTCTCTAACGCTGATTGTCCCAACTTACAATCATGGACAAAAGTCCTCTTGTGACAATCACAGAGGAATCAGCCTAACTAATATAGTATCTGAAATATTGGCCTCAATAATACTCCGACGCCTGACTAAAGCTCGTGAAGAGCAAACTCGAGAAAACCAGGCTGGTTTTCGACCTGGACGTGGCTGCATAGACCAGATATTCGCACTACGTCACGTCTCGGAACAAAATCACTCGTTAAGACGCCCCACAACAGTAGTATTTCTCGACCTTAAGGCGGCATCCGACTCTGTCGATCGTGAGGTTCTGTGGCAGTACCTGTCATTGAAAGGTGTACCGAAGAAGTACATTAACCTTATACAAGCTCTCTACCCGAACACTACAGGTCGAGTTAGAGTTTATGGCGAACTGTCATCGGAATTCTTTACCTCAAGTGGTGTTCGTCAGGTTTGTTTACTTTCCCCATTCTTGTTCAATTTTGTCATAGACATGCTCCTAGATATAACATTATCTTCGTCAGACTTTTCAGGAGATCTTCTACCAGGAGGCTCGCTTATTGACAGAATATGCCGATGACATAGTTGTATTCGGTGTAGATGCTGACAAAATGCAGTCTTCTGACTACCCTTAGCAACAATGCAAGCATGTTCGGGATGCGGTTTTCCCCCTCGAAATGCAAAATGTTGCTTCAAGATTGGGTTTCGTCGGTATCTGAACTAGTGATAGGCAGTGAGGCAGTTGAGCAAGTCGATCGCTTCACTTACTTCGAGTCTCATCAGTGCTGATGGCCTGATGTGTGACGAAATCTCAGCACGGATACAGGAGGCTCGATTGGCTTTTGCCAACTTGCGTCACTTATGGCGAAGGCGAGATATCCGTTTGCTGACCAAAGGACGAGTGTACTGCGCAGTAGTTCACTCCGTCCTACTTTATGGCTGTGAAACATGGCCAGTCAGAGTAGAAGATATTCGTAGGTTACTGGTCTCCGAAACATTGCTCGTATATCTTGGGACTATCGAGTAAGCAATGCTGTTAGGAAACGGGTCCTATGTAAGAATGGCAGGTCAATAGATGAAGTAGTGAAACTTCATCAGTTAAGGTGGTTGGGACATCTGTTGCGTATGCCTAACCACCGAATGCCTCGAAGATCGATGTTTTGTGATATAGGAGTAGGTTGGAAGAAAGTTGGGGGCCGTCAAACCAAAATATGGAACAAATCTATGGTCACTGACAAGTGGACTGAATCATGTTGGCAGATGTAGGCTACCTGATTGGGGTCCGCGAGACGAAAGTCACCAATGGTTAGAGACCTTAAACGATAGTGCTCAAAACCGTTTGCAATCGGGCAGGTGCATCCACTCTGTGTTCTCTGAAATTCTAATCTTCTGAATTTGTTATCACCTTTATCTTGCTCTTTCTAAATTTACCTCACTGAATTATACTTCTTGAATGATATCTTCGAACCCTAATCTCTCCGATTACTTCTAATACTTTTACTACCTCTGCTACTATGGGATTTGAACTGACAATTGCATCTCTGTGCTCATGTGGTATGGAGACCTAAACTGATGTGTTTATGTACTATGTTCTATGTTGTAATTGACCGACTGACTGAAAGCTTGCGGTGAACAATTTTAAAACAAATATATGATGCGTGAAACTGATAAGATAAAAATTTAGGGCCAAAGGAAACAACTCCTTGAATCTATTTAGGACAGCTTTTAATCAATAACTTAATTCTCGAAATCCGTTCGCCAGTACCTACGTATTATGCGATATTCTATAATGTATTAACTACGAAACCCCAGTCTCGAGTGTCGTTTGCCTAAAAAAGTTTGATTTATTACAAGCATGTAAACAAAAATTTCTGGTTTTCACTGAGGAAGCAACGCTGAGGTTTTGAAGACAGTACTAGTTAAGCATAGAAAATCAAATGAAGTAGTAAACACTCGTCAGCTTAGGTGTTTGTAATATGTTTTACGTGTATTAGTAGTCTGGAAGAAATTTAGGAGCGATCGAGCGAAAACAAGGCACCAGTCCATGAAATCATTGACGGTTACACAAGTCTTATTAGTAGGTGTAGACTAACTGGTTGGGGTTCGCGTGACAATCTTAACCGGTGGTTACAGATTGGGAATGACATGGCTCAAAATCGTTTGCATTGGCGCAGATGGACCCAATCTTTATTTTTACCCAAACAGCTTCTGAATTGATGTAACATCTTTTTTAATTTATTTCACTGGTTTGTAACTTCACGATTCATATCTTCAATCTCTAATCTTTTCCATTACCGTTAATACTGCAACTACCTCTAGCACCTTGGGATTCGGTCGGATGATTTTATCTTTGTGTTCATGTGGTATGGCAACTTGAACTGATGTACATACGCACCAAGCTCTATTTCGAAAGTGAATGACGAGAGAACCACTACTTTTGCCTAACATATGGGACACAACTGAAAGTTTTACCAAAGCCGTAATCACCTTTAAAATAGCCAGAGCCTAGACAATAAACAAACAGGGAATGGGCTGTGTATAATAAATGAGTATACACGTCCAAAATTTTTTCAAAACGGACTATATTACAAACGATAACAGTAAAGTAGGAACCTAAAACACCTACGCAGCCAAGGTGTTCCAAAAATGACATACACGGAGCGTCTGAAGTTTCAGCATTGGCATAGTTTACAATGATCTAGAAACTGCATATTTGTCCTACAAACCAAATTCGAGAACCATTGATTAGCTTTCAATCTCTAAACATTTATAACTTGACGTACATACATGTGGTGTTTCAAGCTATTATGCCTAACGGTATCCGAATGAATCTCTAGGGGTGTAATATAGACATAACACCGTACGAGAGGAATGAACTAGTAAAGAATTGTTGTCACACGTTGATTCGAAGATATTTTTGATCATAAAGAAAATCACTAACACTAAGGCCGTCACCTAACTATGCCGACTGAAAGGTTAACAAGACTCACCAGGGTACAAATCATTTACTTTTGATAATTTAATCCTTGCGCCCGTTTCTTTCTGAATCTTAGCGATGGACTCTCCTCCTTTGCCAATAATTGCACCAACTGCTACTGATGGTACTAATATTTTTAGATTGATGATTTCTGTTGTATTCAAAATGCAACCAAAAATACACTACCTTGTCTCCGTCTATTGCATTGTGGAAGTGATTTAGAATCCTTGTCCGTCTTTTCAGGTACTTCTCCCATACTCGTTAGTCAGGTGTATAAGACAGTAGTCAAAAACAAATGCACCAGAAATAAAATAAATTTGGTGAAATCATGTAGAATTGGTTACCACACATGGATAACCTGCACCAGAATTACAAAATCCAATACAGCTGACAGGTAACAGGCAAAGCCCCAGTCGATGGAGCACCCATTCCCAATTAATGCATTAAAACACTCATCACTGAGTACTGTACAAAGCATCACTCCGACTTTCCATCCCTAACAGTATTGTCGTTTTGCGCTTCGTACGAAAATAAATATATTTCATATGGATTTTCGGTGCATACAAAATGAAAATATATGAGGTTTTTTGGGGTACAAGTATATGGAAGCGTTCAATAAGGCCTTAACTTATTTATGGGCTGGGTGAACTTGGATGAGGAGTGCCGGAATCAAAAAGAACAAGGGAAAAATTGAAATATCGAATCAGTAAAAAACGTCAAATTCCTTTACTAATAATAAGGCAAGCAATCGTTAAAAATCATTGATACAATGAAACCAACACAATTCGACAGTCGAAACTGGAAGTGTCTAACTTCAGTTCCTTCGAATAAAAGACCCTACGGTGACAAAACACTCTAAAACATAATTCCATAAATAACGCGTTACCATACCTATGCCTTCTGCTAAATATGTCTGTAAGACCAGCTATCACCTTTTCTCTGATTTCGGAAACATTCTAACAGAAGAATTTTATGTTATAAAGTTGTCCATCATTTCTTCCGATCGAAATTTGACCAAGGCAGGAACAACAAATGCCGAGGAATAAGGTACATTAATACCTTTTGTAATTCCATCACATTTGCTACCTTTCGTTAATTCTTATGGATGAGGATAATTCCGATATTATGATTTAAAGTAAGTGCACTAGTTTTAGTAACTAAGTCTAACATATTTAGGTTGTCTGCAGCTAATAAGAAACCACCAAATAAAACAAATTCATTTTATTCCACCAAGCTTGTTGTTCTTGCTCTATTTCAAGTTGCCCAACTTGTCCATACCTGGTTCATCCTTACAGCTGTCTTTGTTTTTATTTACAACGAATTCTGACCACACTGAACCTATCTCTCAGAAAGAGCCATAACTACTGAAGCATATACGAAGGCACATTCAGCTGATACAGGGTAGGTGAGGAAGTCCGGGAGCGAATTTGGCTATTGTGCTACAATATTATGTACAGCAGATGCCGAAAATTTAAGTCAAGTACAGAGAACTATTTGGACTGAAAGATACTCCAAAAAATGTTAAAGGTCGATCTATATTCGAGCATTTTCAAATATCAACCTCATAATGAGTCACGTATAATAATTTACAGCATCAAATGCCCGGATCTTGGTCAAGAACCCCCTACATTTTAAGTCTTCATTTCTAAAATTGGAGTTTGCTTTTTCAGGTAACACTCTTAAAAAATTATTTCTGAATGTATTTCTGATACAATGTAGTAGTGGCTACACAAACGCGCTTATACAGTCACTGGTATAGACAGGAATCTAGCTGTTGCATACTCCATTGAAAATTTTGACCAAGAACTTCCCAGCAACATTGAAATTCGTGCCTAGGAATCAGGAGACTCAGGATTTTCTCTCCATTTTATTAACGTCTTCCGTCTCCGTCTTTGTTGGTTATGATCCCCAAGCCTAACAATAGCTGTGAGTCTATGTACGCATAGGATTTTAATCAAAAAACTGAATCGCCATAGTTGAGTTACAAGGAACTGACAGCGATCAAACGTAAGTACTCAGTCAACCCATAATGTTTTCGCTATTTTTCAGCAACGTTTTATCTGGACATGATTTTTTTTACTTTCAATGACTTTTATATCTGCCATAATAACTAAGGGGTAGTATTTTTTAGTTTTTTGGTCCAGCACTAATGATGGCACGCAGCAAATCAAGTTTTCTGGCATCCAATAGTTATTAGTCCATTGAATTACCAACTTCGTGTAAATTTATGAAATTTATGACAAGGACATTGTACAGTTTTTCAAGTTGAAAGGAAATTAAACGCTATCAGATAACTGAGTAGCGAGAAGCCCCACATAATGAACATTATTAAACATTCAAATACATCGATTTGTCGAAGTTCATCACCATCGATGACCTTGGATTTTCAGGCATATTTGATTCCGGTGATGTAGCAGCTATTAATCGTTCTTGAGGATTAATATGGATGCTCTTCCGAATCTAGGAACAAACACATCTTTAGGTGTAATTGGAGGGTACATGTGATCATAATGAAGTCGTACGCAAGTTAAATGTATTTGGCATAGGAAGAAAATCTATGGTCCTTCATTACTGATAAAGAACTGTAAAGAAACGAAGGAGGTAAAGCTTATCAAGTCAATCGGATATGCCACCACAGCAGTGTTTCATCAGTGGTGAAGCAGACTAAGAAATAGCAAGTTAGTAGATAAAACCCATTCAGGCCGCTAAAATTTAAAATGAGATGTAGTACGATAGTCTTCAAATTAAGGAGTGCAGCAATAAGGAACAATGAGTTGTGATATATATCAAGGCAGACAGAGTTCAAAAAGTGGAAGAAGATTCGAAGTAAGAAGCTCGTAGTCTTTTCATTAAAGTTGAAGTTGCTCAAGAAGATTAAAACTAGTAAGCAACATTGATTATTATATTACTCATCATCTTTATCTCATCAAATTACAATTTTTGAGTCATACTGTAAGTGCCTGAGTAAGTAGCTTGCGAATTTTCTGGAAGGAATTGCGAAACCAGTGTAGAATCCTTTTTGAATGTTTTGTTTTTTGGAAAATCCCTCCATGTTTACATATTTTTGTTATGACGTGACGGACTCTTTCTGTTGACATTTTTGGTATTTTATTTGATTCCAGTTTGAGATTTTATCATTGTATATTGTTATTATTTCTATATTTTGTACTTATATTGAAGTTTTTGTGTTTGCTTCTGAACTGTATAAATGTTGTTTAAATTTGATCTTTAATATGGCTACAGCCATATTTGGATTGATACGGTAGCTGTTGGACTTAACGTCACTTATTCATCTTTGTTTTGGATACTCTTCGGAGTAATTGTAACCTGGAAGGTGCATCAATTCCAGACCGTTTTCTCCTAGGATTGTTGTGTTTTTAATATTTGACCGGGAGATACGCGTTCAGGTTGCACTTATTGGAAACCATTTGAACCGCTACGGTAGAAATCCATTTATAACCAGCATAAAATTGGATACATGAATCGCAGAAGTAATAATAATATATTTATTCTCAAATAACATCATGGTACAAGGGGCATGCCAGTTTACAGTGTAGATCAAATTGTCTCAAATGCAACAACATTTATCGCAGAAGTTATTGCAGATGGATAAAGAGTCTGTTTCTGATAGCATATTTACACTATGTCACTGACAGGAACAGTTTGATACAGTCACATCTCCAATAAGTGAGTGCAAATAGGGAAGGTACAAATCAGGGCTCCTGGGTGGTTTGCTTAGATTAGTAGTAATTTGTTCGGAAAGGTCATTTGGAAAGTGCTTTAGACAAGCAGTGATCCAGACGTGTGCGTACATCAAGTGCATGTTGCTTGGAAGCTCCATGGATGTTCCAATATGAATCGGGATCTGAAAAGGGAGAAGAGAGAGAAAGTAAGCAGCAACGAGGCGATTGTTTATGTATAACCAGAGCACTGCTTAACTTGTTGAGAAACTGTATTTCTGCAAGTTCCTTTCACGAGCTTGTCTGGCTGTAACAACATATGAACTATTGGTTAGGCATCAATACAATACAGTTAACAGTTATGGAGAAAAAAGTGAGGATTTTCAAACGAGCTATATGAAATTAGAATGTAGTGGCGGTGATGTGCGTAACGAAGTAAGCAGGAAAGTTGAAGAGTGTTCAGGTTAGAAGTGGGGGGATAAACAACACTATAGGATCAATAGTATGTCAATGGAGTGCATGTGAGAACAGAAAAACTGATAATAGGCAGTATGAAACTCATGGTTACGAGCGTTGATAAAGTTGTGCCCAGGACAGTAAGGTGCGTTCTAATCCGCCATTTTACAGTTAAACATTATCGATCGACCCAATGTGTAACCTGTCTATTTCAAGTAAAATTTAAAGAGACTTGCATTCAACTAGAAAAAGTTAATGCTACTCAGGAGGGTAAAAAAAATAAATAAAATGCACTACTGGGTTCATTGTAGTTTTAGTATGTAGAGAGCTAATAATATGAATGCAGGGTGCAAGTGACTTCACGCAAGCGGATGAGTTAGTGAAACTGAGAGCTTCACTAAGAAGTTGTACAAACTCATGTAACACATTTGCCATGCTCATTTTTGTGAGGAAGACGTTTTTACGAGTTTTTGATTTATACTTCTCAAGTTTTACCGCAGATACGTTATCTAGAAGGTTATGTATACACTATATAAAGTTGATCAGGAGTTAAAATAAAGTAATAGATTGGACATAAGCTCCATAATGGATTGAGCCCAAGTTCATGACATCAAGTTGGATAGTCAGTGAGTGAGTCATGATTTAGTTCTTTGTATTCCCTCCAGCTTCGATAGACCAGATGGGCGTAAGTCAGAAAACAAGAATAAGCGGTATTCAGCGATAGGTCTTACACATGTTTTTTAGAGGATAGTTCTGGATTCTTTATGAAGGAAGTTAAGAAAAATAAAACCAATCATTCTTCTCATTCGGGAAACTTTATTGGAAATATGTTCAGTGAAGTTAAGGCTATGTGAGTAATGCACTCCTAGATCAGTTACCGATGTGAGTTTAGGCAGTACATTCCTGATGAGCGTGAGATTAATTTTGGCAGACGTGTCATCAAAATACAATTAGCCACATTTCTCAGTATTGAGTTCTAGGTTACAAAACTTACGCCAGACATCTGCATTATTGAGTTCATGCTTGACTGTGTGCAACAGATTTCCTAAGTCAGATTTTTTGGTCTCATAGATCACTCTTAGGTCATCAGCATAGAGGTAGGTTTTGCCAGTGTTCAAAC